GTTCTATTGGGTTTGTTGAATCTAGACTGGTTTCCGTAGCGATTTTGCTTGTTTGTGGCTGAACATTGTGGGGTCCTTCGTGGGATCCTTGGAAGCGGTTTTTGAGAAGACCTTTTCATCCGGCGAATCTATCCCAGCATTCTTTAAGTACCCGGGGGGTTCTTAAATCTCTTCAGTTCTGTGTTGTGCCGGACAATTGCCTACTTCGTTTAGTTATATTCAACAATAATGCCGGGTCGGTTACAATTGGACTGCGGATTTTACGCATTTATGGTGAAATTGAGCGGTTATTTTAAAGCAGATTTAAAATAGTACAAATATTAAGAGAATCGAAATGTGTCAATGTATTATTAAAATGATTAAAAAGGAGTGAACTTGCTATGCAGTTTATACTTCTTGCAATCGATGCAGGCAATTCTTATTTTGCGTAAAATTCTGCGGTCTAATTATAATGTTTCTCGTCTGTTCTAAAAATAATATTATAAAATTAATATTATAAATATATTGTATATAAATACATTAAGTGTATTTATATAATTACTATTACATATTAATATATTATAATAATATAAATAATAATAATAAATTATAATATATTATATTATTATATTTATATTAATATATTAATTATAATAATATAATATATTATAATTTATTATTATTATTTATATTATTATAATTAATATATTAATATAAATATAATAATATAATATATTATAATTTATTATTATTATTTATATTATTATTTGTATAATTAGTATTACATTACTTAAATACATGTAATGTACTTATATAATTAGTATCACATTACTTAAATACATGTAACGTACTTATATAATTAATATTACATTATGTATATTATATAACTAGAATTACATTATGTATATTATATAATTAATATTACATTATATAAACACATTACGTGTATATTTATATAATTAACATTACATTTTATAAATATATTACATGTATTTATATAATTAGCATTACATTATATGTATAAATACATTAGTAACGTTGCATATGCGAATATAATTATACGACGTCGTAGCCGCGATTTCGAGCGAACCTTGTCGAAACGCTGTCGTCTATGCTTCGTTTGAATTCGAAGTACAGTAAATTCTCCCTTCAATTTATAAACAAAAACAGACAGTTTTAAAAGAGTAGATACGATTATTCGAGCCTTGCACCTCGTTCTTATAATTCTTGTTGACAAACGGCAAATATAAAAACAAGCCGCGAAGCTCGAATAATCGTATCTCGTCTTCCCAAATTGTCCATTATATTGTTTACAAAATTTTAGCGAGTATTTACCGTAATTCTGGGCGCAGGTTTCCACGTCAACCTGGAATAACCCGTTCTAGATTCAGACTGATTGCGAGCTAAGTTCAAGACACTCGTTATCGCCGGTTTTCAGTTTAGAGAGGTCTGTTTTGTAACCTGGAGGATCAACGTATGTAACGCAATCACGTGTTCCCATATATCAGTTATAATACATGTCCGTTAGATACCGTCGATAAAAGTATGGTAAAACTGTTGTCTCGTATCCTCGGGACGCGATAAAGCATCTAATTCGCGTCATCGCGACACGGGAACGCTGCCAGAAAGTTTCCTTATGTGCATTACATAACAATGCCGGGATCGTAAGCTGTTGAGACATTTGCAAAGTTGCCTTTTGGAAATGTTCGTTGATGTCGTCTACATTGGAAACGGTCCAATACGTCGTCCGATCGTCGCGATTGGCCGCTTCCGAGGTTCTTGCGCAAGAAGTGCACAAAAACCTGTCAAAATCTCGCGCGTGCTTTCGACGGCGAAAGAGAACAGAACGAGCCTTTTTCGCAAACCGTGACATCTTAATCGTTCGATCGATTTACATACCATTTTCTTCACAGTTACAAGGATTAGAAACTTTTCTATATTTTGACTTTTCTATATTTTCTGAAACGTTTCTATATTTAACCCTTTGCACTCGAGTGGTGACTCTGAGGCACCATTGAAATTTGTTATATCACGTTCTAAGATAATTTTTGCGTTAACAAAGTTTGTAATCGGATCGTAACGATTATTTATGATATACAAGTAACAGAAATTGTAGTTTTAATTCATTTATTGAGTTTTGATAATCGGAAGCTTGTAAAAAACGTCGAGTCTTGTGAAGTAATAATTAATAATAATAAACTGAACGCTGATTCGAGAGGCATTTATATTTTGGTAATTAACCCTTTGCACGCGAGTGGTGACTCTGAGGCACCACTGGAATTTGTTATATCACGTTCTAAGATAATTTTTGCGTTAACAAAGTTCAGATTTAAAAAAATTGTTAAAAGTGTAACCGTTGTGTAAGTCGCAAGACCGATATCGAGATTGACACACGGTAATCGGAACGTCCGCAGTATTTAGCTCGCAGTAATAGATACACAACCGCGGTAATACGCACACGCGTGTGGTTTCATTACGTTACGCTTTTCAACGAATTTCGTGCTTTCAGAGATCGAATATTTTCAGAAAAGTAAATATTCAAGTTAAAGAATAACAAGTACAGCACGAGTTGTCAATTAATTAGCGTAAAACGTCTTATGCTCTCCCTCAAAGTTCTCCTTCATCGAGAAACCGCGGTAATACCCACATTTGCCCTGTTTCTCAAAATGTCCCCTACGTTCGCACAGTCTCGTCGTACGCGTAAATTAACCCTTTGCACTCGATGCCAAATTAACGCAAAATTTAAACTAGTTTTTTTCACCCACGGTATTCCCGTTTTTCACAACGTAGTGCATTTTATAATATTCATGAGATTGAACATTATGATTCGTGCAACGGTCACGCTTTCAACGATTCTTTAAAATATAAACAAATGTGCTTGATAAAATTATCTTGAAACGTGACAGAACAATTTTCAACCCCTTTACATACCATTTTCTCCACAGTTACTGGGATTAGAAACTTTTCGATTGCAATAATTTCTCAGAAGGGAAAGAAAATTGATGCTTATCCTGTACCTAAATTTGCTCGAACGTTTAAATATCGATGCGAAGATATTAGAATTTTCTTGCAATTTTTTAAAGTACAGAATAACACATCTACGATCGATAAGTTATTACTAGAAATTTTCACGACGAGTCGGACTCGTCGAAGTTTGGCAAGGGGTTAACGGTGCCTTGTAGCCGCTATTCGAGCGCAAAGGGTTAAACGTCCACGAGTCGTTCGTTTCGTTTTTCGACGAAGACGCCGTTCGCCGATGTTTTTCAACGGGGAAGGGAACGAACGAGCCTTTCGCAAACCGTGACATCTTAATTAATCGTTCGCAATTTTGAGGAACTCCCGGTCTGGATTTCGTTCCGATGAGATCACCGAACGTTTCGCGGGAATTCGAGTTCTCATCTTTGCTCTCGAACAGCCGGTAAAACGACGCGTTGTCCGTGCAAACCGTTTTCGAGAAGATATCGCAGAGGAGATCTGAAGTTCGCGCGAAAGAAAAGTCGCGCGAGATAATATCGCTAAATATAAATGCTTTGTCAACTAGCGGTCTTGATTAAACAGCGATATCTAATCGTTTCGTTGTATCCTACGGCCACGCAGATCTGCAGACAATAAAGTTTCATCACTGCGCGTTTCCTGTCAATTTTTCACTCGGCGCTCTCGTTCGAGCAATCGTCGCAGGATATTGCACCGTAATCAATAACACTTGCAGCACTTGAACGTTATTATCGTGCGTTGCGCGACTGATTCGTGCCTCTTTTTGCCGGAAATCGCGAGGCCGGATCCGGCAGGAATCAATTGTAAACCTGTGCACCGTGCGCGTCCGTTGATCCGTACCTCTTTGGACGAATTTAGCCGACAGGAAACTTGGTCGAGAGAAGTGAAAATTTTTGGTCGGATACCGGAGAAAGAAAGAAAAAAATGTACAGTAAAAAATGGTCTTTCGCGGTGGTTATGTCAAGGTTATATTTGGCGGTTGATGGTTGATGTTAAGATTGATGTGACGATGTTTGGGAGAAAAGGAGAGGGGGACGTTTCGTCCGGGACCCGCTAGAGGACTCATCAGTTAGTCTATTCTAGCGGGCCCTTGCCTTAGACATTGGGAAAATTATGGTACTTCCGAGAAATGAGAGGTTCCTGAGATCATTTGAAGCAACTTTTTCCTTTGCGAAATTGCAATCCGCGGCTTCGTTTACGAGTTATTAACGAAAAACAGTGACCAATGAGAGGCGAGCTTGGGTGGCACGCGGCGGCCGAGCCAACGAGCGCGTGAAGCCCGGTTCCGCTCATTGGCCCGGTCGCCTAGCGCCGAGCGAGCTCGCCCTTCATTGGTTAGCGTTTTTCGTTAATAACTCGTTAACGGTGCCTCGGTGAACATTTTTGTAAAGGAGAAAGTTGCTTCGAATCACCTCAGGAATCCCTCAGTTCCCGGAAATACCATAATTTTGGGACAACCTTTATATATAAATTAAGGCGGATCGGTTACCGATCTGGAAGTCGTTGAAATTCCGAACTTGTTCGTCGCTTTTGTCTTCTCTCGGTTATGTACGCATGTTTCATGCAGTTATATTTTTATATTTTATATAGTTATATAATATTTTATATATATAATTAATATAATATATTAATATATCATATATTATATTATATATATGATAATTATATAATTAATATATAATATAATATATTAATATAATATAAATATATTTATATATAATATTTTATATTCTTTTATACAGTTAACTTTATACAGTTAACGGAAATCGGTTTCTGGAAAATAGATTCCGTGATTCCACAGGCTTTCCGTCGCCGGATGAAAGTGAACGGGAACGCATGCGAGACTCGCGACCGCAGAATTAAACTGTTGATTTCGTAGGCTTAATATCCGTTCGCGCGGTGAAATATCTGATCGGACGTCGCAGCGAGTGCGCGACCGTAATGTCTCTAATTACCTCGTGTACGAGATAATGTCTGTGCACGTGTATTATGAAACCTGATGCACACGGTGTTCGTTTCTTTTCCAGGAGCTTGGGTCGCAGCCTTTGCCGACGATCGTCACCGAGGATGCAGATAACTTGAGTCATGCGTCCCAGGATCAGGGTCACAGGCCTCGAGCAGGTACGACGACCTTCCGTTACTGTAAACAATAAGAAGCGGCACAGTAAATTCTCCCCCTAATTGTCCTTCGGTTTGTATACAATATATAATTGGCAATTTGGGAGGAGGCAATGAGGAGGTACGATTATTCGAGCCTCGCGGCTCGTTTTTATAGTCATTCGATTTAGTGTCAAGGTCATTTTATTTACCGTACCTCCTGCTGCGAACAAAATTGTTCTGTTCGTACTTTTCGGTTTCGTTCAACGAAATATCTGTTCCTGTGGATACTTTGCAGAAAGAGTTTGGAGTTTTCTTTATAAATGAGTCGTTTATTTTGAAAGTGGCGTAAGTCACTTTGTTTTTACGTCGATATATTTAAGGGTTTGCGTTTGAACACGTTTAAAAATATGGATGCTAACTTTCGAGAAGATTTACTTGTATTTGTTATCTCAGGACACTGATATTTCAGTATAAATAAATATTTATACTGATAGTATATATATAAATAATTATTATACTGAATATAATAACTAAATAATTATTTATACTGATATAGATAAATAGTATAAATAATTATTTATACTGATATAGATAAATAGTATAAATAATTATTTATACTAATATAGATAAATAGTATAAATAGTATAAATAGTTATTTATACTAATATCTCAGTATAAAAATAATTTCGTATAAACATTAAAAAATCACCACTTTTCATTAGGGTAAAGTGACTTATGCCACTTTCAAAATAAACGGCTCAAATGTTCTCGAGGAACAGATATTTTAGTTACGTGAACATTGAAATTCCATTAAAATTCCATACATTCATTTAAATCTAAATTGCCGTTTCAATCCAGCTACTGCGAGTCACAGATTGTCAATAATTATAAAAAAACAAGGTGCAAGGCTCGAATAATCTTCCCAAATTGTTCATTTTTGTTTACAAGTTCAAGCACAATTGGGGGGAATTTACTATAGTATGTTTACACAGTTTGAACAAAATATTTGATCTGCTTAAAATGGTCTCATCTGTGCTAAATTTAGATCAAACAATTTTTCACTCGGCTCTAGAATCGGCAGAGTAACACAAGAACTGTGAAAAGAATACAGAACAATTTTATCCATCTCTTCTCGTTTTTTTCTCAATTTTTATGAAAGCTTGTGCTTCGGGTTTCGATGATTTCTCTGAGAAAAATCTGTTGTTTTCTGCAACAGGAACATGGGGCTCGCACTCGAGGACTATCAGGAAACCAACATCTGGCAGTGCTCCCGGTTCCGGAAAGTCAACGCCGCTCCCGCAACCGGCGGAACCTTCGAGCTCGTCGAGTTCGAGCAAAGGCGGCAGGAAAGCTTCCGGCACTCGGTCTGGATCCACCAGCCGCAGCAACAGCCGCAGCAGCAGCGTCGAACGTAGAAGAAGCGGCGGCACTGTCGATGACACGGCCAGCCCCACTAGGAAACCGGCGCTCCTCGACGCCTTCAGGCCAAGGAGCAAGTCCGACGCTAGCAAAAGGAAGCCCAGTATTATAGCGAATATGAAAAATGCTGTGCAGGTATGCTGTCGATCATAAAAACTGTGATCTTAACTTGAATCGTGTAGCTACAGGGTGTCCCAAAAATGTCTCGCAATCCGAAAGTGGCGGGTTCCTCGGGTCATTCGAAGCAACTTTTTCCTTTACAAAAATGTTCTCCGAGGCACCGTTAACGAGTTATTAACGAAAAACAGCGACCAATGAGAGGCGAGCTCGGCTGGCGCGAGGCGACCGAGCCAATGAGCGGAACTGGGCTTCGCGCGCTGGTTGGCTGGGCCGCCTCGCGTCAGCCGTACTCGATTCTTATTGGTCACTGTTTTTCGTTAATAACTCGTGAACGGTGTCTCGGAGAAAATTTTTGTAAAGGAAGAAGTTGCTTCAAATGATCTGGGGAATTTTTGGGACACCCTGTATAGTTCTATAAAAGGTGATCGTAACTAGAGACCTATGATATGAATTATTATTATGATCCCAAATAGAATAATGGAATTGGTTCCTATGGAAGATTATCTTCATTAGAGACGTAGGATTGAGATGTTATGAGAGATAATCCTAATTACAGTTACACAATTAAGGTTATATGGAAGATGGTCCTAATGAGAATCAAATAATTGAAGTCCAGTGAAAGATGGTTCTAATTATACGTCAAATAATTTGAGTTCTATGAGAGATAATCCTAACTTAGAGTCATACGATCGGCGTCTTACAAAAGATGATTCCACCTAGAGTAATAAAATTAGGATCCTATGAGAAATTATCCTAGCTTATGTAATCCTAGAGTCATGTAATTAGAGCCTTATAAGAAATGACCCTAACAAGAGTCAACTAATTGATTCCTATAGAAGGTGATCTTAATTAGAGTCAAATAATTGGGCGCCTATGAGAGATGTTAGAATAGAAAAGATTATTAACCGTGACCTCAATTTTGTATCTCAAAAACAATTTTTATAGATCTCTATAGTTATTGAAAAGTGTCAGAATGGAAGATAATTGAAAGTGATTTAATGAAATTAATTTGACCGATATATATTCGTTTGAAGCAAGTAATTCAAGCTTACCGATTTACTGATGTACCGATTTGACGAGTATATTTCTCTGTATTACAGCAGTCATTGCACAGAGGCTCCCATGGAAGTTCGTCCATAGATGTACGTACAGATAAAGATCACCACAAAGAGAGCAAGGACCACAAGGAGGGCAGGGAGATTATGGGACGCCCTCGAGCTGGTTCAGAAAGTAGCAGGAATCCTGTCAGCAAAGTTATGGATCTCATCAGACATAGGAGCCATAGCGCTCTTAGCGGGGAAGATAAACGGAAAGCGGTGAGTTATTTGAATTGTTCGCAACAGCTTGGATGTTGGCAATTTTACATTTTAACGACGCAACGGTCGCGAGAAACTGAACTGTGTTATTACCGACTGAGACGGCGAGATTGCGATCAGAGAAGGTCTCTGTTTTATCGTTGCGAGTAACAGTTGATAAAGACACCTACCACAGACAGTAACAGTAAGGATGAATATTAAGGGATAACAGTAAAATAAAATAAAATAAAATAAAATAACCACAAATAAAGGTTGTAACATTAGATAGAATATACAGTGGCATTGTTTTGAGAAAAATTTGTCAGGCTTCTAGAATTCTGTTGCCTTTGCTGTGTATGAATTCAAATCCATTAGCAAGAATCGAGTGTTACCTACACTGCATTCTATCTACGGGTTAATATTATTTAGTCTCATCAAATGTTACAAAAATTTCTGAAAATTTCGAAACTCATGTTAAAGCGGGAAGATCGCTCTTTACAACGGATTCACTTAAGATTGCAGAAAACTTCGAAATTAGATTCTTCCAATTGATTTAGAAGTGCTTCTAAATTTCTCAAATAAAAATACTTCATAAATATTAAAGTATTCATTTCAAAAATACAAAAGTTTTATCAAATAACTTTGATAACGTGAACGATATGATGAAACTTTTACTCGCAATTTTATCTCACGTTCGTCATTTACATTTGTACATTCCCTTTGCTTTCCAATACAGCTTCATCGAATAGTTTCTCATACAACCATTGTCCACGGTGAGAGAATGCTGCAATCGTTCATAAAATATTAAATCGGTACGACAATCAGAGCCGAGACACGAAAGCCAGTGTAACATGTTTTGCCTATATTCTTATGCTCTCGTCTGTACGTCAACCTCTTTTCACTGAATGTATCGAATATCAATCGTTCAGTGGATAATGTTTCGTGTGGTTCATATCCTGAAAATTGATACTCGGAGAAATATGATTCATTATCAGAAAGACTGATTTTATTCCAATAAACACCTGGCATCTCTTGCTTTTGATAAGATTTTGACATGATATAATTCGCGTTGGCAAGTCTCTCTGTTATATTTCAATAATACGGCAAACATTCTGTGTCACATATTTTCACAATGATTATTTTATTAGGTATTACACTCATTAATTTAGGTATTACATTCATTTATTTATTTCACTCGCATGGAAATCATATCTTTTTCTCCATTGGAAACGCGCATATACTATACAATATTTACCATGATCATATTCAGTGCGCATTACAGTAATATCTCTCTAATTGACGCCCAGATTGTCCACTAAAATGGATAATTTGGGAAGCGAAGATACGATTATTCGAGCCTTGCGGTTCATTTTTATAGCCACGAATTGTCAACTACTATAAAAACGAGCTGCAAGGCTCGAACAATCGTGTCTCCTCTTCCAAAATTGTCCATTTTTGTGCGCTTGATTTATAAGCTGCACGACAATTGTGGAGAATTTCATTACAGCAATTTCTCCCCAATTCGCGCTCAGATCGCGCACAAAAATAGACAATTTTGGAAGAAGAGATAATAACCTTGCGGATAGTTTTTATAGTTGTTGACAATCGATAACTATAGAAAAGGAGCCGCGAGGCTCGAACAATCGTATCTGCTCTTCCCAAATTGTCCATTTTTAAGGTTATCTGCGAGATGGGATTAAAATTATGCTGAAAATTATGCCGTGATTAGTTATACTGTGAATAATAATTTTCAGCATAATTTTAATCCCACCTCGCAGATAGTCATAACGCACTACAGTTAATTCTCCCTAATTGACACTCGGATTGTGCACAAAAATGGACAATTTCGAAAGATTGCACATTTGGGAAGACAATTTGCGCCTCGCTTTTACAGTTGTTGACAATCGATAACTATAAAAAAGGAGCCGCGAGGCTCGAACAATCGTATCTCTTCCCAAATTGTCCATTTTTACGGTTATCTGCGAGATGGGATTAAAATTATGCTGAAAATTATGCTGAAAATTATGCTGCGATTAGTTATACTGTGAATAATAATTATCAGCATAATTTTAATCCCACCTCGCAGATAGTCATAACGCACTACAGTTAATTCTCCCTAATTGACACTCGGATTGTGCACAAAAATGAACAATTTCGAAAGATTGCACATTTGGGAAAACAATTTGCGCCTCGCTTTTACAGTTGTTGACAATCGATAACTATAAAAAAGGAGCCGCGAGGCTCGAACAATCGTATCTCCTCTTCCCAAATTGTCCATTTTTGTGCGCAATCTGAGCGTCAATTAGAGAGACATTACTGTATTCGGTCCACAGAGCGAAGAAATCGTCACGATAAATCGGTCCACAGTTTTTCAGAGTATAACAGTCGCATGGAACATGATGTTACAGCGTGTTACGCAAACATCTCGATCCGAAGAAAAATTTGATCCGCATCTATCGTTTGCATAGGCTATTGACTCGCGCGCCAACCGGAGAACTCGAAATTCCGGGGCGCGTCTCTTCGTTCCGTATGTTTCTGCTCTCGGCAGAGCGTGACTTTTTGAAACGAACGAACCGCTGTTGGTCCGGCCTAACAATGGTATCTCCGCGAACAAAAGGATGATCTCTGAAAGCAGAGAATACGTGTTTTGACGTCGACGATTATGCATCTCCGTCTTTTCTCTCCCCGATTCGGACGACTATAACTGGAAAACCTTGTCACTTCGCATTTCGCGTAATACATAGTTCGGCCGCATCCGCCATTATGCACAAATGGATCCAAAAAAGAAAAATGACGAAGACCTCCGTTCACTCGAGAAAAATTATCCTAACTTCCCTTTCGCCGATTCTGTATCAGCAGGTGTTCCCTAATTTTGCTTTCCTCACTGCGTCCACAGTGATTTCCATTAATATTCGGTAGCACTTTTTAAGACGCGATAACTTTTTCAAAATTAGAGTAAACGATTTGAATTTGTTTTTTTTTAGATGATAGACGAGCTAGTATACTAAACGATGACTAATCTACTTTGTTACAATTTTGCTATTACTTGCAATTACAAGACAAAATAAAAGACTCTTTTCACTTTTTTATCCGAGCCTGTAATGAAAATTTCAAAAATACTCCATTCTAAACAATAGCAAAATTTTAAAAAATCGTTCTGATTATGGTCTAGTAGACTGATCGCTCTATCATTTAAAAACAAATTCAAGTCGTTTAGTCGAATTCTCAAAAAGTTATTACATTTTGAAAAGTGTCCGATTATTAACGGAAGTCGCTATAAATAAAATGCTTATCGCGAAGAACCTCTCTGTAAATCGTAATTCGAGTTAATTATAGAGTCACCTACACCTGAAGGAATATCTTTTGCACGGACAATAATATTATAACGGCGCGAATAATAATTTATTTAACCGTGAACTATAACCCCTTGTTCGCGCTAGTAAACAAGAAATAGAGCAATTAAAAGAGTAATTTACGACGATAACAGACGCAGACGTCGTTTATTTTTGCATTTTAATTTCTCGCGGACTATAATTACAGTATTAGATTATCACAGATTGTGTAACTTAGATTATTATTAGACCCGCGTTCGATTTTTTCAATCTCGCTTCGGCGATCGGATGCGGGACATTTAACCCTTTGCAGTCGGAGACATTTCAACTCGAAATTCAAAACAGTTCCTTCGACCCATAGTATTTCCATTTTACATAGTTTAATGCACTTTACACATATGAAACTGCATTTTGCGGCTCGCGCAACGGTTACAGAAAAAAACAGATTTTACATACAAACCGATTTGATAATGTTAAAATTATTTTGTAATGCGATATAGTACTTTTTAATGGCGCCGTAGAGTCGACACTCGAGTGCAAAGGGTTAAAAAAGAAAAAAAACGAAAAATTGATTTCCTCGATTCGTCGGATCGTCGAAGAAAACGTGGCTCGTACCGGAGGCTATAAACTCGAAATCTGTCCGCTCGAACAGTCTCGCCGGCTCGGGGTCGTAAACTGCATCTGTGTAAACATCGGAGTTAGTAACGCGAGCGGCGTCGCTGATCATTTTAATAAAGTCCGAGCATCGCCGACCCTTTCACCGCGAACGCGACGCGACGCGTTTACGGACCTTGGGGGAATTCCGAACGGCCGCGTTTACCTGTACAATTAACGGCGATGGCCGAGTCAAAGCGGGCCCATAAACATTTTATCTGCGCGCGGGCCTCGCGTAACGCGTGCCTGTTTAACCCTTTTATATATATATGTAATAATATATATAAATATATATATTTATAATATATATATAAATATAAATATAATAACGATATATATATATATATATATAATATAATATATTATATTTGTTGAAATTTTAGCCTCGAACAAAAATTAATCTATAGTTTACTTAGTAAGATATCTTCAGTTAAGATATCGGTTTACATTTCGCCGGCTCCGTCAGCGGGCAGCGACGGTGACGGAATCTGTATATATTAGATGCCGCGATACATCATCGCCGGTACCTTTTGATGTACATCGTGCCCTGACCGTCACGTATACAATGTAAGACGCGACAAATAAAACGTCTCTGATTGGTGGACACGACGAACCCAAAAAGAGTATAAAAGAAGCGTTTCTTCTTACCGGGCACCTTAGTAGAGTTTGATCGCTCGATCGGTTTCGCTCATATACCTTCTCTCATTAAGAGAATAAAATAAAGTCCTTTTAAGCAAAGTATTAGAATCATATTCATTTTCATTCCATAATCCCAACAGGTTATGGGCCCAGGCAACGTTTTTGTTAATTAACTTTGTTAAGTGTAAAAGGACTGTGCAAAGAGAACAATGGAAAGTGCGGGTATAAAACGAAACATTAAAGTGTTCGATGGTGAACGTTACAGTGTCTGGAAATTCCGTGTACGTGCTGTGCTGGCAGAATTAAACATTATACACGTAATCGACGATGAACCACCACAGAATAAAACGGAG